TCAATATATTATTGTAAAAATCTCGAGCCTTCCGTACTGAGTTAAGACGATATCTTTGCCCCTGGCAGGTAACTGCAAGTCTGGCTGGTGCCTCCCATCTGAACTGTAGTTGACAATTTTTGAGCCTATTGACTAAGAAGGCATAGTCTTTCCTCGATCTCAACATTTTAGGTGGTATTTCCTTCAAAACGGTCATCTCCTCACCCCCAATTTGAAGCTTAGTTTTGTAAGACTCTTGCAATATCAAATTCCTCATATCTCTTGTAGCAAAATACACCACAATGTCTCTTGGGAATTGCTTTTGTCTGGCAAGCCAGGAGTTAACACGATATATCTTGTCAATTTGCCATTCAAAATTCCCTCCTGGCCTTCCCATCAATTGATCAAAGGCTTCTGAGAAGATCTGCTTCAAATTTTCTTGGTTTTTCTCTTGGAGGCCTCTTATCGTTAAGGCAAATTCCATCTGTCTATACTGCAACATTATAATTTCATTTTCTGCATCGCCAATCTTTTGTTGAACCATATCCATTTTCGTTACCAGATTAATATTAGAATCACTAAGATCTTCCAATCTATCTTCAATTCCCGAGAGATAACCCGATAGGCACATAAAAGCCTCCAGAATATCGTCTCTAATTTGCTGGTTCCAAGTCTGAACCGATTCCATAAGCTCTTCTGACAATTCTTTATGAGTAGCAGATATCTCTTCCTTTATTTTAATTTCCATCTCAGCTGCATGATTTTTTAAAGCCTCGGCTAAGGCCACGCTTAGTTCTTTTTGCAGAATTTCTCAGTTCAAAGGCTCTCCTGTGGTGGTGGGGAGTAGTGACTGTAATTTAGTTCCAGGAGCAGGCGAATTTCCAGCGCTTTTAGACGCGTTGGGGGGGGGGGATTTTGCTGCTTAGAAGCCATTCCAGATTTAATCTTCTCCACCCACTTACTAAATCCAGGCAAGCCGCTTATCCAGCAATTACTATTTAGTTTAGTAATAAATCACTTCTGTTTTAGTGATCTTTAAATGTTCTGAGCTCCGTAGAAATCTATGTCATCACACCCTGACCCCTCCTACAGAGCTGTTCGACGCCATTTTCTGTGTATTTCTAGCAAGTAAATTATCAGAAGGAATTCTTTAAAAAAATGGAGTTAAAGATTTATACATACAATTAGAAGTTCACCAGTATTAGTTCTGCCCGCTTTGAAATCAGTAATAAATCAGTCTTTGAGCTGAGGGTGGGCGTGTGCCTTCGTTCTGCAAAAAAGGCAGAAGAGGTCCTTGACGCGGAGAAATCACTATGCTGCTGGGCGGCTCCCACTTCCCATCCCAGATTTATGTTCTGGGGGAGTTAATTGGAGCATTGCCCAAACATAGCTAGCTCGCCTTCTTTTCCTTGGCCCGGAGAAGAGGTAATTAAACTGCCAAACAGTTGATGGATACTGTTTAGACAGTTTAATGCAGCCAAGAATACGGAGCTGTTAAAAAACAACAACCCCCTCAGGCCCCGTCCAACCAGGGTTCTAACCTCAGAATAACTCCACCAGGGTTTACACATCAAACTAAACTGAAATTCAATTTACATCTGGGCTTAGGGTGATATAAGAATCAGATTAATATTTTCTAGGCCTTGGTGGTCTATTCAGTAGTGAATAACTGCATTTCTCTTTGTGACTGTCAGTTCATGCAGAGAGCATGCTCTTTATATATTAATTAAAATATGCTTTTAAAAGATGAAAGTAAGGGAAATGATGGTATTGTTGATATGTTTTTGTCATTTGGTATCCAGAGAAAATTGTGAAATAGTAACTTTTTTAAATTGTGTATTTGCATCTAGGTTTTATATGTGATATGGGCAATAATTTAATTAAGAATTAATGAAGCTTTGAATCTGCTTTGTCCATTAATTAAGATGATTAAATCCAAAATTCTGAAAAGTCACTCATCTATTCCTCATACTGATGAGGTAACAATTGCTTGTGAAGATGGATCTTTCCAAAAAGCAGAGCAGAAGACAAGAATTCTAGGTCTTGAAGAGGCAAAACAATTAGCCAAAAATCAGGTCTTAGTATCTGACTTTAAGCAACAGAAACTTGAGAAAGAAGCACAAAAGAACTGGGATCTATTCTACAAAAGGAACAGCACCAATTTTTTCAAGGACAGACACTGGACAACTAGAGAGTTTGAAGAATTAAAAGCCTGCCGTAAAGTGAGTTTCACATTCTCTGGCACCAGAGGGCAATAAAGAACTACTAGAAAAATCTCTGAATTGGAAGCCTCTAACTCACGGGTGTCAAACTCCTGATGTTACATTGCATCATATGACATATTGCAATGTTTTTCCCCTTCGTGGAGCTGGGGTGGGTGTGGCATGCATGTGATGTATCCAGCCCGCTGGCTGCCAGTTTGACACCCCTGCGTCTAAGCTGATCTTATGTTATGCATGCTATAAAATTCAGGCTAGGCTGGTACAATATATTTGTTTTGCACATTCCATGATAAAATTTGAGATAGAAATGTTAATATTAATGTCAGTCAGTTCTTTGGTATCAATTCGATTGAAGAGGATAAGTTTTTCTAGTGGTGAATCTGGTCCCAATTCCCAAAAGATGGGGGTGGTGGTGTCCTGTTTGAAACAAGTATACATTCAATGAACAAATGGAGTTCCTGGATTATATTCTTAACATTTTGTCACTATCAAAAACAGTAAGGATCACCTAAGTGGTAAATATTAGTCTCTATTCAGAGTGACACATCAAAAGGATTAGATGATTTCTGTGCAATTGTGACCAGTTTGTTGATAAAGTAACTTAGATGATTAAGTAATAATTCATTTTCATATAAAATACAAAAATATCATGAATTCTGTTTTGTATCTTTAATTTGAAGAAATTATCTTTGACTAATCTTATTCTTCTAATTCACTAGATGATTCCATTTGCAGTATGTATCAAGATGCAACACTTGAATAAATTGTATGACTAGAATCACAATAGGTGTTAGTTTTAATTGCTTTTAAATGAAGGGTTTTTTTGCTTTTCAATACAACCACTACTTAATGGGAGTATAATAAAACCACTTTTTATTTTCGGTCATTAATTTGGGAATACATCTTTGTGGTGATTGGATAATTTGTTGTGTGGATCCAGTGAATGGAGGTTCACTGTAATAAATTTGATTCTAAAAGCTAATGTTAATCCAAAAATTAATTCACTTTGAAAGCATCAATTACAACAATTATTTTCTCACATCTCTAGTTTGAAGATCAAAAATTGACAATTCTGGAAGCAGGTTGTGGTGTTGGGAACTGTTTGTTTCCACTTCTAGAAGAAGATTTGAATATGTTTGCTTATGCTTGTGACTTCTCTCCCCGAGCAGTGGAATATGTAAAAGTTAGTAAAATATTTGTCATTTTTTTATTCCGTTAAGTGAATACATGCATTTGAAAGATAAGTGTCTTTAAAAATAAATGAAGAGAAAGCAAAAATAACATCAAGACTTAGTATCATTATATTGGTTTAGCTCTGCTAAAATTAATTAGCATTAGGTAATATTATTAACTGAAATCCTATTTTTATTATCTGTGCATAGCAATGTCAGAGTCTGTATTTAGGTCATTTAGGAACTAATACTTTTACATTTGAATTACCTATTTACCCATTTGTTTAATTTTATATAGTAATTCATCAAATTATCTTAACCTGAAATTTGAGTTTTGTTGCTTAGTAATTAAATATTACTCAGATGATTATGGAACAGATCATCTAAATTACTTATTTTAAAATTTTGTAAGGCCACCTATAGTAAAAACAAATACCTAATACAGTAAAAGATCCACACCCAAAAGCTGGAAGAAATAGCTATATACATTTTTTTATATTATAATAATCAGGTTTGCTTTTTCTGTCTTATACTGTTGAACAGAATGGAAAACGTGTATGCAGAAAAAATTGAAAAAAAATTTCTGCATGTGCATAAATAAAATAATCTCAGCAACTTTAAGAAGAGTGGATTTGAAGTCCATGCATCTTAAAGTTGCTGAAATTGAAAAAGTTATCTAAAAATACTAGTTTGGGAAAGGTATTCATATTTATTATCTGCTTTTCTGCTTGCTTGTCTTCAACATTGAGTGAGATTATAATGAATAGCTTCAAAATATCCACTATCTAAACCAGTATTTTCTAAACCTGGTAATTTTAAGTATAAAGATTTCACCTCCCAGAATTCTCTAGCCAAAATACTGTATTCTGTATTATTCTGCATTCTATTTTTCTGTACGATTTACTGTGCTAACTTCAGGTTTCAAAATAAGAACTTAAATAAAGTTGTGCCAAATGTTTCTATGTTCATTTCACAGCAAAATCCTCTATATGATGCCAAAAGATGCAAAGTATTCCTGTGTGACCTGACCAAAGATGATCTTGTGGAAAATGTACCATTAGAGTCAGTGGATGTGATTATGTTAATATTTGTACTTTCTGCCATTCATCCTGAAAAGATGCATTTAGTTTTGAAAAATATTTATAAGGCAAGTCTGCAGGGCTATAATGTTTTTTGCCGTTAAGCATGTATTTCTGCTTTGAAAAGTTGTAAGTTTGCATTTAAGACATTTAAGACAATTATCTCACAGATAATTGTCTTAAATGTCTTAAATGCAAACTAAGGTTCTCAGGTTCAAGCAAATAATGGTAACTGATTCAAGCTATAAAATGTGTTTTATGACAACTGTGAAATTTATTTTTCTAGTGCTATTATAATCAATATGGAATGATATTTGAATAAATGTCACTCTTTCAAACCCTTTCATAATGAAATGAAATTGTATGAAATCTGTTTAACAGGGCCAAGCCAAAGTGGCACAAAATGTTCCACTTTTATCATTACATGATTTTATGTATTAATTAAGTAAAACTTAATAAGTTTCATATTTTTCTCAGGTTTTAAAACCAGGTAAATATGTCCTATTCAGAGATTATGGCCTACATGATCATGCAATGCTGAGGTTTAAATCTGCTTGCAAATTGGAAGAAAACTTCTACGTACGACAAGATGGAACCAGATCATACTTTTTTTCTGATGGTGAGATCTTAATTAAGATATATCTTAATTAATATTGATTATTATTACCTGAAATATTTCATATGTGTATACACACATACATCATAATTTTCAGAGTATAAGATGCACCTTTTCCCCCCAAAAAAGGAAGGTGAAAATCTGGGTGCATCTTATACACTCAATACAGCATTTTTGGCTTACTGAAACTCTGCCCCCTTTGCAAAAATGGACGTGAAAAGGGTTTGGGAGGCCTGCAAAGTGCTCCTGGGGGCCGGGGAGGGCAAATAACAAGCCATTTTTGCACCCCCAGGACCATTCTACAAGTCTCCCAAAACTCTGCATGCCCTCTTTTTTTTTTGCAAAAAACAGCCCGTTTTTGAAAAAAACGGCCCATTTTTTTTTTCATTTTTGTGTCCCCCCCGCCTCCCCCCAATCTCCCAGGAGCACTCGACAACCCTCCCAAGGCTCAGTATACTTTTTTTTTTTTTTTTGCAAAAAAATGTGTGCAGAGGGTTTGGGAGACCTGCAGAGTGCAAAAACTTTTTTTTTAATTTACCTCTTCAAAATCATGGTGCGTCTTATATTTTGAAAACTATGGTGTGTGTTATTATACTAAACACCCAACAAATACTGAAAAATAGGAAAAGTTTACAAAACAAAAATCTGTCAGAACAAAAATACAATGTATTTTTGTTACAGACTAATTTATAAATAAATCCAAGTATTTGTTTTGAATGGTTTTCTACAGTACAAATGTACTGATGAAGAAAATCATTTGCTTGACAATAAAGGAAAATAGATATGTTTATTTATTTATTTATTTGCAAAATTTATAGGCCGCCCAATCCCGAAGGACTCCGGGCGGCTTAATGTTTTGATGTTTAAACATCAAAAAGCTGCAAACAGCAGCCTCAACATCGAAAAACGTTATTTAACAATTGTGAACATTCATTTTAGTATGTATATAATCTTTTTCTAATAATGTAAGTTTGTGTAACTCCAAATTTAATAAAAGTCACTATAAGTATAAACTTAAAGAAACTGTATATCCTCCAACATTCCTTTTACATCCAATTTTATTAGTTAAGGATTTAAGGATTTCTTCTTTCTTAAGACTGACTATTCAACATTGCTCAATCTTTGTAACTTTCAGATATGCTGATTCCAGCTCTCAGACTAATAGGATTTGAAGTCCACATATCTGAAAGCTGCTGATATTGAAAAACACTGGATTAAATTATATTAAAATGTTTAGTTCAGCTTCTTGCTCACCACGGCTGGGCAGGTGCATGGGGAAGCCCCATGAAGGACAACCTATTCCCACTTTTCGAAGAAATTAAAAATGTTATTGACTCTAATTGTCAAATGGTGATAGAAGGTAAAGAATATGAGGGCAGTCTTATATATTAATAATTTGTAAGATGCCCAGAATTAACTTATAGATGAAACAAGTGGCATATAAATTTAATAAATACATAAAAAATAACCCACCAGAGATATTTCTATTTTATAACCGGCTGCAAAGGGATTTGACAATTACCCAATTTCAGTAAGAGCTTCTACTGAGATATCTTTGAAGCTGAGCCCTGCTGCCTCAAATAATCTTCAGGTTTTCTCAAAAAATACTTTATTAAAAAAAACATATTGACAGTTAATGATACTTAGATTATTATTTAAAAAATATATCTTAAGATATATCTTAAATACCTCATAAAGGAGCAATCCATACTTAGCAGCTTTCTTGGGCAAATGGAAGGAAAATCTGACTTTGAATATTGCATCATTTTCTGTATTGATGCCTATCTCTTTTTAAATAACAAAACAATTTTTCATTTTTTGTTTTGAAAAAATAACCTGCCTATTTAGGATTTGTATCATTTCATCTTTGTACTTTAATACAAGTTTCTTAAAAATATTTTTCCTTCTAGAATTTTTGGCAGAACTTTTCCTGTCTGTGGGATATGAAGAAATAGTCAATGAATATGTGTTTCGAGAAACTCTGAACAAAAAAGAAAATATATGTGTGCCAAGAGTTTTTCTCCAAAGCAAATTTCGAAAGCCTCAGAAATAAGTTTTTGCTGAAAAATTGTTGGGCAGTTGAAGTTCAAGTCTATTTTCTTATGTTAGTCAATTTAAACCAAGTTTTATATCAGGCCTGTGGGACAAAATAAGCCTAGCACTTGCCTAGTCCTCTTCTATTGATACAATCCTGAAGACAGTGGAAGCCTCTGCTTCTAAGTATAATTCAATAATCTTGGGATTAAACTACCAGCTTTCAGATTTATAATTCAGGATCACAAAGCTTTCCTTGGCTTGAGAATGCTTATTGTCAAGCAGATTCTAGAAGTGAGGCTAACCTCATATATAAACAATGCCTGAGTTCACATGACAACTTTTTGATACAGCATAGTGAGCCAGTACTATCTTACTACATGTACTTAGCCTAACATGAAGTGCATTACCTTTGGTTGGTTAGTTTACAATTCAGTGCAATTTTTAAATCGACAGCTTCTCAATAAGGGTGGAGATAGCATCCATGCATCAAAATGAAAGCCAGCTGGGTGATCTGATCTTGGGCCAGTCATTCTTATCTCAGCTGAACTAACTTCCAAGAGTTATTGTTCTGGGAAAAATAGGAGGAGGAAGGTGTGTTGAATATGTTTGTATCTTGATTTATTTGTAAAAACAATAAAGACAGGAAAAAGATGGAGGGTAGGTGGGTAGGTAGGAAGGTAGGTAGATGATAGATAGATAGATAGATAGATAGACAGACAGACAGACAGACAGACAGACAGACAGACAGATAGATAGATAGATAGATAGAGTCTAAACTCAGCTAATGTTAGATAGGCACACTAGATGCCAAAATTAGGATACCCCTGAAAGATAGCTGTTCATACACATATATCTTGCTCATTTTTTGAAATACTTTGCTACAGTCAAACACAACAAGGAAACCAGCAGGAAGTCAGAAGTTCTAATGATATGCGGTTCTCCCTTAATAATCCATGTAATCCTCACTTAAAAATGTTAGCTATATAACAAGAATTGCTCGTTATATAACACGGTCATGTGACATTACACTTTATAACTGCATCACAGTGATAGCAATTCTGGTTCCATTGACATTGAACTTAATATTGCAAATTGGAGGAACAAACAAATGCTTACTTGAATGCAGAAGGCGTCTGCCATCAGACAGGAAAACAAGACATAGTTTGATTGATAGAGTTGGGACGAAGCTAGAAATTCTGGTATGTAGCATTATTGGATTATATTGACTTGACATGCTCATTTGGAAACCTAGCTATGTTCACACAACTCATTAACTGGTTTTAAGTGAACCATTGTCAGTTGTCAATGTTCAAAAAAACATTGAAGCATAGATCATACTGGCTAAAATAACACAGTGCAGTAAGACACAAACCCAAATGAAGGTATAGTAATTGATACTGGTTTGATTCAACCTATTAGACTAGGCTAAATATATGCATGTTTCAGAATGTTCTTTCCACTTGCAATAGGAGAAATTATTAAAAAGAGAATGGCTCTTTCTGTTCTAATAAAAACAAACTTCAGTTTCTTCAGTTTTCTGGCAATAGGTTATAGGAACTAAGCAGGCTGGGTTTGAAACATTCCATTAATGTTGGTGTTACAACTTCTTGCATCCAGAGTGCAATGAGCCCAAATTATGTCCTATGTTAGGCAACTTATTTTTTTTAATGTTGCAAAAGCTTGGCTCTCTTACTACATGAAATATTTGTTTAACTATGATTAATTGACCAAACTGCTATTGGCTTAACTTTTGTGCTATTAAATAACAAAAATGTTGGATTAGATATGAGTTGAGAGGTCTGTGATAGGAATTTCTTGATGTTTTCCTGGTAATCATTCTCCTAGTAATTATTATGACTTGGATCAAAACAATCTATCTCTTGTGCTGGCAGCCCATTAGGCAGGAAATGAGAGGGAGGGAGGGAGACGCAGATGTAAAAAAACAACAGGGCAGAAAAAGAGTAAGAGGAAAAGGTGGCTGTGTTCATTCTAGGCCAGGGGTATCAAACTCACGTCATTACAGCAACATCATGTGACGTATTGGGACTTTTCCCCTTTTACTAAAATGGAGGTGGGCGTGGCCAGCGCATGAAGCATCTGGCCCATGGGCTGGAAGTTTGACAGCCCTGCTGTAGACTATGCTTTCCCTATCACATAATCCTATGAAATCACAATGCTCATTAAGGTTTAAAACCAGTTAGCAGGAAAACCAAGTTTCAGTCAGGTCATAGTGATGGGCTGAAAAGCTAATCTTTCATTATTGAGTTATGTTCCTCATTTTCATTTTATGAAATTTATAAGTCACAAGAGATTAGAAGAATAGGGTAGATACCTTCTCTTTATTTATTGCTGGCATAAAAACTTGTATGAAGAAAGCTGCATCACAGTCAGCTATTATACTTGGGTTAAGGAAACCATGACTTAGTGTATGAACACTGATATTATAAGTTAAGAAACCATGTTTAAAACCAAACAATGGCTTAGAATGATATATTGACTTACTAAATTTAATATTTGAATATTTTCAATCTATTTTTGAATGATTTAAAAGTTAATTGGTAAAAAGGGCATTATTTGAGGTGCTCTATTGACTATATTGGATATCGTATAATTCATAGCTAATTAGTTTATGGTTTTCTTTTTGATCAGTTATATTCATTTTCATTTACATTACACTATAGTTTTATAAGGGACGGTGGCTAAGACGCTAAGCTTATTGATCAGTTTGGTGGTTTGAATTCCTAGTGCCACGTAATGGAGTGAGCTCCCGTTACTTGTCCCAGCTTCTGCCAACCTAGCAGTTCGAAAGCACGTAAAAAATGCAAGTAGAAAAATAGGGACNCCCCTCCCATACAAGTTGTTAGCCGCCCTGAGTCCCCTCAGGGAAAAGGGCGGCCTATAAATAAACTCAACTACAACTACTACAACTTGCGGTAGCAGAGACCAGAGCCGAAGTGCCATTTTTG